TCTTTTGGGATCAATGGCACGACGTACAGTGTCTATTTTGGTATTGGTTTCTTTTGGCCATTCTTCCCCTTATCTGTGCACAAAAGGAAATTGAGGCACCAGATCTATGAGGATTGAGGGCCATGAGACCATCTTTTTTTAGGGGATGAGACCATTTATTAGTTAGTGCTTGACTGTTCGTACTTCCTTGAAGCCCACTGGGCTTGGAGTCCATGGGCTATGACCCCGAGTGGACAGGGGGGCTGGTGTCTACTTCTTCTCCCTTTCTTCTTCTTTTGATGGGTTTTCCCTGAAAATCCTTTTTCTAAGCTCGGGCTCATCTGCACATGTGTTAAATAAAAAATTTAAAACAAATACTAGAAAAATTCAAAGAAAAATCCACTTTTTTCCGTGGTAGACAATTTGGCGCGTGATGTCCGACCCAATTTTCATATGATTTGGACAACTGAGGCAACTCTCGAAAAAAAAGACAAATTCGGGGTCTCTAAAATAGTTTACTGTTCATGTATTGTTTTGACTCAATTTGTCTTTTTTGTTGAGAGTTATTCAGATGTCCAAATGAGCTCATATTTAGACCGAACCTCACGCAATAAATTGTCTATCATGGGAAAAAATTAGATTTTTTTGAATTTTCTAGTATTTTTTTAAAAAATTTCTGATTGGGTGTAGATGAGCCTGGGCACCGAATCACTGCACTCGGTTTTCCCTTTCTTTTCTTGAAAGGGATCATCACCATAGACCCTCAAGCTTAGGGAAACTCCAATGCCGTGTATCAAGAAGCCCCTAAATATTCGTACAACATGGTTCATACACTACATCCGCGAACCGGTCCGTACGTTTGAAATCTCGCAAACCATAAACAATCTCGTGGAAGGTTTGGGGGAGTGCAAACATGTCAGACTCCAACATACCCGGCCCTCCACAAACCCTTCTCCTGGGGCCCTTACCCTCAACCTTTGCTCTATATCCACACCAATCAAGACCGAAAAAAAGCAAAAAGGAACATAACCTCCGAGACTATGAAGAGAATAGCGCAGTCGCCGCTATACCACTCTATCTGCCGCCTAATTCTTCTTGGACCTCCGTTGTTGCACCCTACAATTTGGATGTGATCCATGATCACAATGTCGCTACTTCATTGGTGGTACACCATTTCAAACATCATAACAAAGTATCACGGTTTGCACAAGTGGAAAAAAGATGGCCACAGGGCGCATCAATCATGGAGATCATAAGTTTTGCCTCTTGTTGCTTAATGTTGACCAACTCATGGATTCACTAAATGTTGCAACTTGATGATCACGTCATTGTATATCCCGGCCGTGATGCCGCGTTGTACCAAAGGATGGAGGGCAATCCCTTCACATTGATGCAAATCCCTTCACATTGATGCATTGTTGAATGAAGCTCAAGGGGCACAACATCTGGATGAACAACATGTGTCGAGGAAGAAGTTCAAGCTCGAGGAGAGAAAGCTTGAGATGAAGGCTAATGTTGCACATGTGTAGGGGGTCAATTGTACATCTATTTGATAAGTAAGAGTATCGATCCCATGAGGAGCTGATGAAAATGGTAAGTGCAAAAACAGCCAGGTTTCACTACAAGTACTAAAAGATGTAACCATGTCTTCTCTTGTGTTGGTAATGGAGCAATGAAACATGATTAACAATAAAAAGTAAAAAAAGTGTTGTAGGTGACCCAATCCATAGTAATGCTAAGGACAAAATGGTTGTGTTACTTATGATGATCAAACATTCTTAAGGACGGAGGGGCAAATTAGGCCAGAAAAACCTTCGGGGGAAGAACTAGGTTTCGGCTTCATAGTGGCGACAGCAAAAAATGAATGAAGAATGCATATAGCTAAATCACATCGAGAGATACCCTAAAAGGCTTGGGGGTTACCAAGGGTGCATGTAGGCCCCCGGCGCCCCTGTAGGTGTGCTGGCATGGTTGTCACCTAGGAACCCTAGGGCCCACCTAGCTGCCTCTTTTGCCTCTTGGCCTCTTCTGGTCCCAAACTCCGTAAGCTTTTTTTCGGAGCTCTGACATCGTACTTTCTTCACAAAGGTTCAAATTTCATCCTGAAAGCAGCTCATAGAATTAAACCTTCAATTCTCTGCATAATAAGATAAACCACAATTAAATTTATGCAGAGATGACTAAATTGACATAAAATTAGAATATTTATACCCTAAACTATGATGCAAAATGCACGTATAAAATGAAAATTTTTCAATGAATTTAAAGAACTTGTTGAAAATTTGGTGCTTTTATTAGGATTTAAATGTATGGCTAAAATGCTATCAATCGATGATTCACAGTGAAGCTGCATGATGGTATTTTGTTTAGTTTCACTTTTTCTATTGGAAAAGAAGCATACATGTGATGCATAGGGTTGGATGGCCACCCCTATCTAGTGTCCATGGACATTTATTGTGTCTGTTTTGATGAACCAGGTTGGAGTTGGCCTTAGCACTCAACATCAAACACAACGAAAATGGTTTTATATAGGTTTTATTCTAATATTGAACGACTTTACCTGTGATCTTCCGGCATGGATTTTGGCCCGATGACCTCCGCCTAATGTATCCTTGCTACTCTTTCCTGCCTAAGTTGACCAAGGTAGGGAGGGCGGCCAAACCGCAAGAGGGTCAGATTAGATCGGTGAGGAGTTCTTACTCCAAAAGAGAGGGGGATAAGGGCAAGAAAGGGCATGTTGACGTCAAAAACTTTCTTGGGAAATTGAAGCTGAAGGATTCGAAATTGAACGATTTGTTCTTGTCAAAAGCGAATGTAGATTATAAGTACATTAAAAGGAGCACGAAACACAGTTCAGATCTAGCCCTACTGGATCTACGACTCAGATCAAATCACTAACCTGACATGTGGGTTCTGGCCCACCGGTTAGTTTAAACGAAACGGTATGGTTTCTAACCTTACAAAGGGGAGACAGTGATGCTTGACTAGAGGTTTGTTGGATTCTCACCGTGGGGTCGGGCTGGAGGTCAATCTTCGAGACGTCTTATTAAAGTAGGGTGTGCTAGAGGTTGCGCATGACTGTTGGCTAACACGAAGGCAGCATCCAAGTCCGTGACATGCTAATGCTAGAGAAGATTAGGTCATAGGGGCCTAGGGACACTAGGGACACTAGGATTCGAAGGAATTATTTGAGCAAGATTTAAATCAAATCAAGTTTGACTTCATTTGTAATATTTTGAACATAACTAGGTAGGTTTGTTGCTCTCAAGAGTTTGGAAACACCAACAAAAGGTCAATATGGTTTTCTAGGATTTTTGCCAAAACTAAAACTATTTTTTTAGAAAAGAGTCTAATTTTAAAATGGCAGAAAAGAAATACTCACATCGCCTCCAGAATTAAAATTTTGGTTCTGCCGTTGTAAACCCAAATTTGTATTTTTTTTTACATAAGATTTAGCATTTCTAGTTATACCCTTGTTTTATTTTAGGGTTTGAGTGCTAAAAACAATTTGAGCCAGCCCTGCCCCGGAAATAATTCTTGAAAAATTATTTTAGGGTTCAGGCTGACTTCAAGTATTTTTAGGAACGTTTTATTTCATATATTTAGTTCATCAGGTATTTCTTGTCGAAAAATGTGTTGTTAACGCAAAAGTAACCAAAGAAGACCCAGATCGAAATAAAAAATCAATGTTGAATCTCACATACCAAGTTTTACCATGAATATAACATAGATGACAGCCACACACCTAAATCTGAGATCTTACAATATATGTATATGTATACTTTAAGGCTTTGTTCCAAAATTTTCAAAATTGGAATATATATATATAAACATATAATCTAAAGCATGAGTTGGTCTATTTTAGAATAATAATAATTCTCTCAATGGATGGTGAAAAATACAAAAAATGTAACCGTACAAATATACTAGGGCCTTAAAGATAACAACCCAGTTATCCTTTGCCATCCTTTTCCTCGTCTTTGTTCAAGCTCTGATTGAAACTTCATTTGGTGTCTGACATACCTAGCATACTGGTCGACTCAGAAGTCACACGGCTCGTGAACATGAATTTCTTGGTCTCAAAGGTTTGGAAATGGCAAGAAATGGCTAATACAATTTTCTAGTATTTCTACAAAAACCAGAACTTAATTTTAGCAATTTACATGCTAAAGTCTAATTTTTAAAATGGCAGAAAGGAAATACTTCGACCACCTCCAAAAATAAAGTTTTTGGTTGGTGATGTCCTAGGATGTTGTAAGCCCTACAATTCATATTTTAACAGTAATATGTTAAGTGAGTTTTTTGCACTTCTAGTTATACCCATGCTCTAGGGTTGCAGTGGTAAAAACAATTTGAGCAAAGCCCTGGCCTAGAAATAATCCAAGAAAAATATATTTTAGGGTTCATGGTGACGTCTACTCCCTCTGTTCCAAATTACTCGTCGCAGAAATGGATGTATGTAAAACTAAAATGCATCTAGATACATCCATACTTGCGACAAGTAATCCGGAATGGAGGGAGTAGCATTTTTTTTAATTTTTATTTCAGTTTTAGTTCCTCAAGTCTTTCTTGAGAAAACGTTAGTTATTAAGGCAAGAAGAATCAAAGAAGATCCATGTTGAATTTCACACACCAAGTTTTATCTTGAGTGTACATAGGTGACAGTCACCCCTAAATCTGGGATGTTACAATACATGTATACTTTTTACAAAATAGTTTGGGTACCAAAAACAATTTTTTGAAGAAAAGAAACTGAAGGGCTACCTGGAGGCCGGTCTCCAAACCCACTTCTCGATTAATTGCCGAGGTATTTGGCTATTTTCAATGCATAACTGCTATACAAGTAGGGCTTTAGCTTATGTTCCAAACTTATCAAAACTATAAACATATAATCTAAAGCACTGAGCTGGTTTATTTCACAAAAAATAATAAATTGTCTCAATGAATGGACAAAAATGCAAAAAATCACAGTAGTAGGGCTTTGAAGACAACAACCCAATTATCCTTTGTCATCCTTTTGCTCATCTTGGTTCAAGCTCCGTGATTGAAACTTCATTTGGTGATGCCATACCTGGCATATCGGTCGACTCGGAAGAAGTAGGGCTCATGCACATGAGAAATGATGGCTTGGATGGAGACCGGAGAGACACAGTGTTACTGCTAAGCATGAAATTTACTGTGGACATCGTAGGCCTATCTGCTGGGTTATCTTGGACACAGAGCAGGCCGATGTGAAAAAGCTTCACCACCTGGTTTCTTGGGGCATGGCCTCTCAGAGATGAGTCTATGATCTCTGCAGTTGTACCCATGGTCCAGTGTTCCCATACCTGTATCGAATTAGCAGCACTCAATATTTTTACTGAAGTTAATAGTTCAAGACCTGGGTAAGTAGGAAACTCACCAGACTTAAGAGATTGACAGACTCGTCGAAGTTCCAGGAGCAACTGCTTCGTCTTCCTGTCACCACCTCTAACATCAAAACGCCAAAGCTAAACACGTCCGATTTTACAGAAAACTGGCCACGCACCGCATATTCCGGGGCCATGTATCCACTGCAATGAATTAACAGGAGCATAATGTCACTATAGTTGGCACACCGTATGAATATCATCACACCAATCGAACCATACTTACTACGTCCCAACAACTCGGTTTGTCACCTCCCTTGTTTGATCTACTCCAAATAGCCTTGCCAAGCCGAAGTCTGAAATCTTAGGAGTGTAATCGGAGTCTAACAGAACATTGCTCGTTTTGAGGTCCCTGTGGATTATTCTCAGCTGCGAATCCTCATGAAGATATTGTAATCCTCGAGCAATCCCACTTATTATCTTTAATCTCTTTCTCCAGTCTAGCTCCTTACTTCTCTCTGGATCTGGCATTTGAACAGGAGAATCGTGAATCGGTGAGGTTCAGTTTTACAACCAAAATATGCTAATGCTGAAATAATGATTGGAACTATTACCAAAAAGAATAGTGTCAACGCTTTTATTGGGCATGTATTCATACGCAAGCAATTTCTCATGCTCTTGCACGCATACCCCAACAAGCCTGACAAGATTCTTATGTTGAAGCTTGGCGACCAAAATAAGCTCATTCTTGAGCTCTCCTATTCCTTGCGCTGAACTTCTTGAGAGCCTCTTCACCGCTATCTCCCGGCCATCAGGAAAGTTTCCCTGCATAAGTGTAGCCATGATCAGTTGTCGTAGCACAAAAGAGTATGGTAATGAATTGGTATGGGCTGGTACTCCCTCTGTTTCTTTTTAGTTTGCCTATAAAATTTGGTCAAAATCAAACTTTATAAAGTTTGACTAACTTTATAGGAAAAAATATCAATATTCACAATATGAAATCAATATTATTATATGCATCATGAAATTAACTTTTATGCCATATCACTTTAGTATTGTAGATGTTGTTGTTTTTTGATATAAATTTGGTCAAACTTTGTTTAATTTGACTTTGACCCAATTTTATATGCAAAGTAAAAGAAACAGATGGAGTACCTTATAAACTGCACCGAATCCTCCTTCTCCAAGCTTATTCGCCGCGGCAAAGTTATCCGTTGCACGACGTAATGTTGATAGATCGGCGATAAGTGAATCAATGCTTGCAATGTCCTCACTATTAGCCGAATCTGTAAAAAAGCAGGAAGAGAGCCCATAGAGATGCATTACATATAAGCACCATATATATGTTTCAGGACCGATGTTTTCTAATAAGAAGTATATTTTCTTAACAGTTTTACGAAAGCACATTTAGATATACCCTAAATATTGCACATCTAAGTGACTCAATTAAAAATGTCAAAGAGAAAAGACTCAATTAAACTAGAAAGGAAAAGAAGTGTAAGACAACATACAAGGTGGTTGCTCACTGCTTGCTCGTCTTGTCCTCCTCTTCCTCGAATAACAGAGACAAACAGCAGTGATAGCTAGAATTGCAACAACCAGAGGTAGCGTAATTGCTAGAACAACTACCGTCTTATTTCCCCATTTTCCTGTAGATAGATGCCAGAGTAATTAACGGCTCATCATGTATTCTGAGAAAGATGGCGCTGGTAGCTAATAGTACATTTGCTGTAACTAGTAATTATGCACGTGCAACGCACGTGTGACTTTAGTAAAAACAGGTTTGCATTAAGTTTATTCTGAAACCTGAACTTGTATGCATACTATTATACCAACTTAAACTTCTAATCCCTAAAATCAAACCCTAAACCTTGTTCTCGAGCTGCCAACAACCTGCAATCGCAGGTGTTTATTCACACAAAATCGAACTGCAACCAACATGTATTACTAAGCAAAGCCAAGGGGGTCGCCCAAAAGGAAGAAACAAAGCAGATAGCCTCACATGGACCAGCAGAGAGCAATGGTCTTGAAGATTGCAAAGCATAGAAGTGTAAGAGAAGAAAAGTACTCTTTGTATCTGAATTTTGCCTTCCTTTTTGTGTGTGCAGGCTGCATCTGTGTCATGTGGAGAATTAATCAAGATCTGCAATGAAAATGTTAACACTTTGCATGTGTTCCCGTGAGTGATGGTCCGAACTCCGAAGCCTATGGAATGAAATGCCTTGTACTTGTAACATTGAAGTTGTCTACTGTACAAATATGCTACTGTATGCAAAGAAAACACCATTATTTTCTTGTTGAATCATCAACGTTGTGCATATTCCTTGGAACCTGACACAAGGCAGTTTGCCAGGCATTTCACTCTCACATTAAGCAGCATGAGATTACCGCCCAAATAATAAGAGCACTTGGTTCGTTACAGTTGTACACAAATGAGAAGGCTTTACTGCAACACAGTACTGAATAAGAATACAATCTTCGAAGAAAAGCCACCTGTGGCATCAAGGATGTCATCTATACCAGAAACCAATGGCATCTACAGAGCTAAATTCTTCATAGGTCCAAAATACACAACAAAGTGTCAAGTGCTATTTAGGAAGAACCTAGTCCTTTACATTGGTTCACATTGCCCTCACATAGAGCTGGGTATACTACAGATCATATTGTACAGGAGTGACTGCTGCATCATTTAATTAACTGAATTGTATGCAGGATACATCATCAGATCACACCATTTATAATAATAAATATTACCAGCAAAGAAATAATACCAATTGAAAAAAAAAACACTTTGGTTATTGGACGCCATGAGACAGGGGAGCAGCGAGATGGGGGGCCCATGAGACGAACGGTGCCGCCAGATGTGGCTTCTTATCTAATCAAATTCCATCATACAAACAAAACAGAATTAAGAGGAATTTTTTTTAGATAGCCTCACATGGACCATCCAACACGTCCCAATTTTGCGAGAAACAAGCAGATCATCAATAAGCTCTTACAACATTGCTCACGAGGCTCTAAACTCTGAATTCGAGTGTGTCTTGTACTATAATTGTTTAGCTCATAGAGATAGCCCTGGTGGGATCATAGATTCTATCGGCTATAGGCAAATGTTGCAGGTTATGCAATTCACACTATAATTGACTGAAAATTTGGCATGTCTCCCTATTAAAGAAAAGGTTGCAATGCAGAATAGTGGTATAAAAATTAGAAGGTCAAAGGAACTACAAATTACCAAGAAGAAGAAAATAACAAGTGTGAAGCAGATCAGTGTTACCTTTGTGACGTACTCGCCTAAACCCTTCCAAAAATAACAATCAAAGCAAGCGGCTGCAGATTCAAAAAGGAAGGATATGTGTACAGCTCGTGTGCTCTTGCAATTTTTGATATGAAAGAATGCATTTTGTTTCAGCGCAAAAAAAGAAGAAAATGATGATAGGTTACAGAAAACAAATACATACACCAAATTAAAGGAACACATTTTTTATTTGCAAAAATGAAATCAGGCAACTACGCGATTTAAAGGAACACATTTAGTTTTATTCTAATCTGGATCCAAGAGGACATCAAATGCATGAATCCAATGTTGTGGCACTGTCACGGAGTACAGGCAACATTCCCAGCAACTTGATAGAAGATGTGTTGTCAAACGCACCGTTTCTTGACAGTCATGTACTTGAACCAGTTACAAACTCTTACTAAATGACTCGCCATTTCTTAATAAAAAAGACAGACAAATGACGATCTCTTAATATGCTCAATAGAAAAGCATTGCCAAACAAAACTCCACTTGTGCGTCTGACAGATTGTGAGACTGCAAGCGGCCAATAGCTTTCCATGTTCCATCCCAGCAAGTGGTGTTGATTTAGCCTACAAGAGAGTGAAATCTCATTATAACTCATTGGTAAACCATAGACATATTCTGCATCAACTAATGCGAGTACTGTCATTCAGAGACAAATAGTAAGGTATGAACTCTTGCCCAGCAGTATATTTCTCTTGCAATGCCAAAATTTTCAGTGGTTCCTAGAGTTTAGAAAGCTCAGAAATACTATGCATTCATCCATTTCGAGAGTTTATATGAAAAAAAAGAACAAGCATCTACTGCAACCTCACATTTGAGCACTTAGATTGAGCACACATGTTCTGAACCAGAAAAATCAAGCACGGTAACAGGTAAGGTCACCACGCACGCACCTGGGAGCATGATCTCAATTCTCAGGGAGAAGGCGTTTGACATTAGGCAGCAACCGGGTTCCCTTGTCCGACCGACCTTACAACACCATCAGGTAGAGCGAGACGGCGAGAGCGTGCGGGCGGATCTCTTCTGCCTCCCCTTTTCTCTCGGCTTCTTTTTTGGCTGCCCTCCTGGAGTGTCCTCTAGCCACCACTTGGCCCTAGAGAGGAGGCCATGAAGCCGAGGGCGTCTTCCTCTCCGCCGGTGCAGGAAAGCAAGGAAAAGGAGAGGGGCAACATGAGGAGGGGAATGGAGGAGACCCGTCGCCGTCGCCGCCGACGCAGGTTCAGCCCGCTACATCTCGCGCCGCCGCCGCCGACGCTCGACCGAGGAGAGGAACACCGGCATCGCAGATGCAAGTTGAGCCCGCTGCATCCCGCGTTGTCGACGCTGCTCGAAGGATGATAGCGACCCGGCCGCGTCCTATAGCGGCAGCAAGGAGAGAGGAGGGAGGCGGAGGCGGAGGCGGGTGGAATCGATTCCCCTGTTGCGGGCCGGTGGGTGATCCGCGTGTTGCGCGAGGGGCCACGGAGCGCTAATAGGATTGGCAGACCACGGCGCTTGGCAGAACATTTCATCTGAGTCGTTGATCTGATTGACAGACTATTAACATGATGTAGACGGTGGGATGTGTGTAACTTAATTTGATCTAAGGGTTGTGTTTATCCTGTGTACACTTTATGGTGTGGGTTTAAAAAAACTCAAGTTCGTTCTTTTAATAGTAGTATAGATCAATTTTGTTCTGTAAATATATGCATATAGAGCTATATTAGAGTAAAAAAGTCCATTCAACATCATGTAGTGCTACTAGTTTCCCATTGGAAATACCTTGCACAATGTTGTGGGAATATTTTGTAACATATTTCAATGTAATTAGTTGTACTAAACATAAATGTTTGAAGTAATAATATAAAAACTAAAACTAAAATTCATATAATTAATTATGATTAATTACTATATCATTGTAAAATGTTTATTAAGTATATATAGCATAATAGAATGAAAACTCTCATGTGTGTTTGCATGTTGAGATGGGATTTTTTTTATACATGTCATGATGAAGTGGTACGCTTGCATGTTAAGAGACATATGATAGTGAAGATGAATCTTTTCTCATGCATGTTATGCGATGACGTGGCATGCTTGCATGTTGAGAGAAACAGTTAGCGGGGACTAGCTATTTAAATATTGAAAATATATATAATTCATTGCTTAATGTCAACAGAAAGGTCAGGGTGAACAAGTAGCAAGTCTTCCATGGGGCTCACGCTCACCTCGTCGGGCGAGGGTTGCTGGAGTCGGAGCCGTTGGCCCTACGGCGGGCTCAGGCGCCGGCGCAGCCAGCCGCACCATCACCGGGCCGCGGAGGTAGGTGTATATCTCGTATCTGTAACTGCACCTGACCCCAAGA